ATAACTGCATGTATATTTAAGTGTATAAGATAGAAAATGATATCACTGAGTTTTATTGGATCATTGAACAGAACCGTTTGCAGTATCATTGTTGGAATGTCCACTTTACAAGCTTTAATTTTGTGACTTGAACAATTATTTCTAAGATGACAATATGTAATCCATTAACTAGTGATTTCCTACTGTTTATTTTTTTCTGTAATTGTGTATAACTTGTACCCTTAAAAAAAAAAAGAAAAAAAAAGTTACAGAAAATAAAAAATGGCTACTGTAATATATATTGCTATCTCCAAAACAACTGCCCATACTATCAGACATAACAAAATCAAACAAAATAGAATAAAACCAAACAAGATAAAATAATGAAAATGATACACTTCAAAACAAGATAATAGGAAATTAATAATAGCTACCATAATGCCTCTTGTTGTCTTCAAAACAGCTGTGCAGACTATCAGACATAGGCATGTAAAATTATCCAAACACTAAAAGAACTAAGTTGCTTCTTTACTTCAGTTATCTTTTTAGAAATTTCAGGTGTCTCGCAAACTTGTTCTGTGTGGGCTGGAGGTCTGAGATTATATTTTGCTCTTTCATCTTGACATTTTCCTGTGTTCCTATGAATCAGCTCATTGCTATGTCCCTGTTGCTTCTTGCATTAGTTGCCAGTCTCCTGTTGTAGGATTGGACTAGGTTCCTTTAATTTGGGGTTCCTGAAGCAGTGGTACAGGGTGGTGGTTCACTGATGCTTTCCACATGGCTGCGGGCCTCAAGGTGTGGCTTCTTCCTATTAACTCCATTTGTTCATGGGTTTCGTTCAGCTCTGGTATTTGATTTTTCTCTGTAGTTGATCTGTCTCTGTGACAACGGGGTATTGAGGTCTCCTATTACAGCTGTGTTATTGTTCATTTGATTTTTCTATGTCTACCTGTAACTGTCTTATATAGTTGAGTGCTTCTATATTATGTGTATGTTTATGTTACGACATTTGTGGAGTCTCTAGCTTTCTCATTGACCCAAATCAATCTTACATTATTCTTCTTTGTTTTGTCTTATAGCTGTTGGATTGATTTCTCATAATCTCTTGCTATTTTTAAGATAGCTTTCTTTTAAAGATCGCTAACTGCACTTCTGTCTTCAAGATCTGAAATTCTATTTTTTCCTTTGTTCAATCTGTTGTATATATTTTCAATGGAGATTTTCATCTCTTGGCTCTGTTTGGATCTGTTTGATGGATTCCATTTCTTTCCTATTTTGCATATATTTTATTTCTATCTTTTTCTAAGCTCATCTATTGTTTTATTGGTGTCTTCACTAATATTTTTGATTTTAAGTATCATTTCTTTATGCACCTGAGAGATTATTTTTTCTATAGCTCTTTACACTTGTTTTTCACTTCTGTTGCTATCACTTCAGAAAGTTTCAGTGTTTGGTTTTCAACTTCATCTATCTTTTTGAGTTCCAGGCCTGTTCTGGGTGGGTTGGGGGTCTGGGACTGTACCCCATCTCTGCATCTGGCCATTCTTCATCTTCTTTTTTTCTTTTTCTCTTCTATGTTGATGCCCATTAACCTTCCATGATGTGTAGCTCTATTACTAGCATTGAGGTCTCTCTCAAGGAGGAAAAGAGATGTCATTTCTCAGGGATGTCCTTCAGATGTAGTTGGTTCTTTATAGCTATCTCAAGAATGTACCTTCTTCTGGTGTTTACAGTGCTGTAATAATGCCCACATTACAGGTGCTACGCATGGAGCCAATTCTAAATCTTTTTAATGTTCTTCATTGAATGTTTCCCTCATTTTTCTATGCTTCTCTGTTCTTCCATCTGTGTCTTCTTTAGAGGTGATCAGCAATTCTTTTATTATGCTTCTCGTTTCTTCTTTTACCTCACACAGTATTTTTGTTCTAAGTTCTTTTATAGCTTCTTGAAGTTGTTTCTTTATTTCAGTTGCTGTTACTTCATAAACCTCAGGTGTGTGACTTCTGATCTCTTCCGTGTTTACATCTCCTGGACCAGTACGCTTGGGTTGGAGGCCAGAGACTGCCTTTTGCTTCTTCCTCTTGTCATGTTCCTGAGGTCATGTTTCTGATTTCTTCTGGACAAGTGGGTATTGGGGTTCCTGGCACTTCCTGTGTTGGCTACAATTTCTCTGAAGGAAGACTCTATTTTCTTTTTCTAGCCCATACTGGCTAGGGATATCTGATGGTGACCGTTGGGTAAACTGGTGTAGGGCTATTGGTGGCTGCTGGAGTGCAAGCAGGGGTAGGGCAGGCTGTCACCTCCCTCCCGGGCTGGTTAATAATCAGTCCTCACCATGTATAGTACACGCAGGGGGGTGGAACTGGGGATAGCTTTAGGGAAACCTCGGAGATGGCTGTTGGAATGTGCATAGGGGCAGGACTCAGTCCAAACAATTTCCACCAGTTCACTCTGAGGCAGGAGTGGCTGGATGAAGCCGGTTGCAGTTCTGGCTCTGGGCTTATCCTGTCCAATTTCAAAATGGCCTCCAGCCAATTGTCCACTCCTATGGGAGGACTGAGTCCCCCACACTCGCCGCCAGCCAGTGCAGTTCTCTAGTTTGCTGCTCCCCACTGCCACCATGTCTCCCTGCAGAGGACTTTGGGCTTGTCAGCCACCATGCCACCTTCACTGTGACTACGTCTCCAGGTTTCAACAGCTTTTCTTGCAAGGTGGTTCTGGCTCTGGGAGAAGGTACCACCAGCTACTGCCTTCTTCTGTTTAAGATTTTCTTTTTTTTATTCTCTCAGTGGCCTTCAATTCTCACTATAGGTTCTTCCTGGCTCAAGAGGACCCACTTCCTTCCTTCTTGTCTTCCCCATGATGCTATATTCCTGCACCTGGACTGTTTCTCTCAGAGAGGCTGTTTACTCTGCCGCTTACTGTTCTGCCATCTTGTTCTAGCTCTAGGACTGGTCTTCTGTTGGTAGAGTTCTCCAAAGTCCAACTTCTGTGTCCTTGATGCTGCTTCAGATGCTTCCACATTACTGGCCTCACTGAATTCTTCACCCTCCAGGAGAGAGAGAGAGAGAGAGAGAGAGAGAGAGAGAGAGACAGAGAGAGAGAGACAGAGAGAGACAGAGAGAGAGAGACAGAGACAGAGACAGAGACAGAGACAGAGAGAGTGTGTGTGTATCAGTGTGCCAGGCTATTATTCTGGATCTTGGGGTTCCCATTAGTCTTATACTCTTCCAGTCAGCTCTGCTGTTGGTAGGTTACGGTTAGGCTTAGCATGGAAGAGGAATGAATCATGAACTCACTGTCTTCTAGCTGGCCCTGCCCTATAGGATGTAATGGAGGGGTGCACAGCGCGAACTCATCTCTTCTAGCTGGCCTGCCTTCCGAGATGCAATGGAGAAAGCCTGGATCACAAATGCACTGTCTTCCACCTGGCCCCACTCTATGGATGTAACAGAGGCCTAGAGTGTAAACTCACTGTCTTCCAGCTACCCTGCCTTCCGAGCGGTAACAGAGGGGCACAAAGGGCAAGCTCACTATCTTCCAACTGTCCCAGCCATCTGGGATATAAGGGAGGAGGCACAGAGCAAGCACAAATGCACTGTGTTCCAGCTGGCCCACCATCAGAGATGTAACAGACAAACAATACACTCATAATATGAGTTATGCCTTCTACTTACATTTTCATATAGATTTATCTGCCATAATGCATGATTTCACGAATCTATCACTGTCAAGTTATAAAGTCAACAAAGTCATCTAAATTTTGTAGATACCCTTAGGACCTTGAGTCTCTCTGGATCCGTACACTTAGGACTGCATACTGAGCAACAGCAGCAGTTAAAATAGTAGGGTTTCAGTTCTTACAAAAAATGCCTTGGAGGTACTAGGATCATGATGGCTCATTCATGATGAATAAAAGTGTGAAAACTGATGGGTATGAAAATTATGGGGTGAGGAATATAGCTTAGTGGCACAGTGCTTTTCTAGCGTATGTGAGCCTCTGGATTCGATTCTTAGTGCCACATTAGGAAAAAAAAATAGTGTAAATAAACAGAACTCATAAAATATGGCAGTAACTTCACCTCTGTTTTGTAGATTGTGACAGATGCAGCTACAGGGAGATAAGGGAGCCTATTACTTCATGTGAATTATTGTACCGGAAAAAATTTTCCTTACATGTAACCAAATGGTATTGTCTTCCCTTTATTGGGAGAAATAAGCATTTGGGATGTTTATTAAAAAAACAATGTTCAAGGGAATTTGTCAAATGAGATGATGATGGTGGTGTTACAGGACTTAGGTCTCTAAAGGATACAGTATGAACATTTAAATTACATCTTTTCACAGTGCATGTAAGTCTCTAAAGATACTAGGAAGACTTATAAGACATTGCTAAAGAAAGAGTAAGTCAATCTCAAATTACATAAAATAAATCACAAATAATGGGAAGTTGAACACTTTTAAACAAAATTAATTATTTAAAATTAACTTATAGAAATGAAAACTTTCACATCTTCTATGTACTTTTTAGATAATCAAAAAGGCTATTTTCAAATTAACTTGCCTACAGTTAAGAATGAAAATGAGACTAGTTATCATGTTGATTAAACCATATGCTTAATTCATAAAGAAATATAAAATAAATGCTAGTGTATAATACATTGTCGTGAAAAGGAGAAAAAAGGTTAATCAATTCAATTCAATTTTAGATGAAGGCATTTTTCCATAATTGCTGAACCCTAGCATGTGTCAGGTAACTAAAATTACACTAAAACGTGCAAGCTCTGTTATTATCTTAGAGATAATCCAGGAAGCAAATAAAGCCAAAAATTCACTCTGAATTTTTAACACGAAGTGCTTTAGTCTTCTATCAAGTATATACTTTTTTTGTTTTAAGATCTTATATCTTGTCTCTTTTGCATATATTTGAAAGTTTCCATAATAAAAAGTACAAAAAATTAACAGTAACAAAAATGATTTTGTATGTATTTCTAACACATCAATCACCCTTTAATACTTACCAGTCTCTGTTTCTGAAGCTCTTCCCTAAGAATTCTATCTTCTGGTAAAACATCACATAACAAAAAATAATTGTCTTGTTCTTCTGTTGAGAGGTTAGGAAAATAAATGAGAAGATAAGTATTTATCATTTTCCAGAAGGATTTATTTTTTTAAATCTGTATACATGTACCTAGGTAACAGACAGGCCTGGGTTTATGTCTGTTGTAATACATTCTGCTTAGTTTTATTCAAGTTAGGCAAAGTAAGCACAGAAAAATTTAGATATTACTAAAGGAAGAACAATTATAATTTAGGGTAGCAAGATTATTCCTTTGAAATATGGAAAAGATGTAACCAAGACATGTACTTACCAAATGGAGCTGTGGAATTAATTCTTATCACACTACAAAAATCTGTGACGGGCTGTTCACTGAACCTTTTTCTCCAATATAAAATGTATCTTAGAATAACAATTAAAAAAAAAGATAATGAGAAGACCATACAATAATGCTAATGCTATGCAAGAACACTTAATTATACCAGAGCAAAAAAAATCAAATGTTGATGAAAACTGGTAGAAATTTGTGAATACAAAGGCAGTGGAGCATTACAGAGGTATGAAATAAGTATTTAATGAAACGAAATCATTTGTAAAGGCATGAAAATAATTAGACATTATTTTCCCTGAATTCAATAAACAGAAAAGTTTAATAAACTGTTCAATAAACAGAAAACAATAAACAGGAAAGTTAAAATACATTATTTTAATGTGACACTGAAGCTTTCTGGAAATAACATCTAAGTTTGTACATATTTAAAATGTAACAAATAAGCTTATTACACATTCTATAGTAACGAGCAAGTCAAGAGGTTATCTTATTTATCAAAAGAACAGGGGTCACAAGAATAATGCAGTGAGAAATCAATCTACATTCAGTATGTATACAACAAGACAACATTTTTATGTTCATGTTGTGCCTGAACTAAGTCAAATCTGGCCTTTAGAAAAATAGCCGAACTTATATATCTTATCAATACTGAGAAGAGTGAGAAGGTAAATTTAAAAGCAAACCATAATCCCCCCAGGACTTGCGTACCTAATGGAAAAAGAAGTAAGATGACAGGACTCAACAAGATGTTCCTTTATCTAACAAGATGTCTACCGGCAACTGCAATCTCATTTATCAAACGAGATAAAGAGTTATATGGAGAAAGGAAACAGGCTGACTCTACACTGACACTTTATTGTGCTATGCAACTTATGGATAAAGAAGTTTCTAACACCAAGGAACCAAGTTCTATGAACAAAATGAGACTAGGAGATTGATGAAGTGCATGGACAATATAGGAGTTTGGACTTCTAAAGTTGCTGACATAGAACCAGCAGAATTTTGTGTATAGTAGATCCATGATAAATGTTTTAAGGATGTAGAAGATATTGGAAGAATCCTGTATATTTCTCTAAAGTAGCCTCCAATGCCAAATATTTGGTCTCCTCTTTTATTCTTAATTCCCTTTTTCCTAACACTGATTTCCAAATTTGATGGTGCTATGTAGATAGGGCATTAGTGTATCAGAAAAACATCTGTGCTGGTGAGAGATCTGAGAAACTGAGAACCATGAGGGAGAAAGAGAGTAGGGAGAAAGACAGAGGTGACATAAAATATAAATATGAATGGATGACATCACTGAATTAAGTAAAAATGTTAATGAATAATGTATAAAAACAGATCCACATGTTTTAATTCTTTATTCTACTGTCAACCTTGCTGGGCAAGAGGAGAACCCTTTTCTTATAGAACAGTGCTGGATTGTATCTCAACAGATTGGAAAATGGTAGTCTTGAGTTGCAGCTCAGCCTCAAATATTACAGATAATACATGGTTACTCTGTGGCTAACTCACTGGCTTCTGTATTACCCATCTCAGAAGCAGAATACACAGTGTATCCATCAAAGCAGATGAAATGGGAATATGTGTCTATAAAAGGTCATACACTGGCCAGCTTCAGCACCTTCCCTGTCTCAGTATATTTTACATAGCCCCTCCTTTACTCTCCACTAGTTTCCCCCCCCCCCCCCGGGGGAAGAGAGGAAAAAGGGAGAAAGAAAAGGCAAGAAGAGGCTTCAGAGAGTAAAAATGTTATCTTATCTTTTCTTATTCTACACTCAGCATTTCTTTAATTACACAGCGATGTGAAGGATGAAGAAACATAGAGATATATCAGGATTAGAAGATATATTGTTCTTCCAAATGGAAATATACAAATATCCACTTTTACAACTCATCAAAATCACCTATGGTAGAATCAGGTGCCAAAATAGCTGACACATGGGCCAAGATGTTTTTGGAGTTTGCTCACGCTCACAATTAGGATATATCGGGGAGAGGTCTGTCAGTCCTGGCTAAAATCTTCTAAAGAAAAGGAACAACAGCAATCAGTCCTAAATAATAATAGTTCCATGCTAGCTACTGCTGTCAAAAAGCAACAATAACTACTTGAACATATAGGCTGTTAGTACTGGCAAAATTTCAGAGTTAGGGGACAATTTGTGTAAAACAAAATGATCAGGTAAGTGTGTGAATGCTAGTAACTAGACTGCTTTCAGAATTATTACTGATTTATTTTTTTAAATGAAGAGTCAACACCACTTCTACCTGCACAGATCTTATATTAAAAGCAGTTTTGCTATTTAAACAAAGACTGGTTAAACACTTATAGCTCATGTATTAATAGAGGACGAGGGACATTGCATTCAGGGAAATGAATTTGAATTTAAAGTTACTGAATCGGGGCTGGAGGTTTAGCTCAGCGGCATAAGCACCTGCCTTGCAAGCAGGCAGTCGTGAGTTCAATCCCCGGTACTGATAAAAAGGAAAAAGACAAAAAAAAAAAAGTTACTGAATCTTCCTGACACTCAGTTTATGCATTTATAAAACGAGTTGCTGATCATTAAATTCAATTAAATTGGACTCTGCAATGTAAAGTAGTGTCCAAAATCCTGGGTACTTGCCTGGCAAGCACAAGGTGGTGAGTTTGATTCCTGTGACCCCACCCAAAAAATTTCCCGGGTACTTAATAATAGGTAATTATTATAAGAAAAAAATAACATATTAAGACTAAGGTACTAAGGAATTATGTTTATCCCAGGGTAATAACGGGTGCCTAACAGAGCAAAACAACATTTCACTCTTTAAAGAAAAGGAATAGCCATAGTGGCATGTACTGAGGTGAGAGGGCCATTTGAGAAGCCCATGAGTTTGAGAGCAGCCTGGACAACAGTGAGAGGCGATTAAAACAAAACAAACACAACAAAATAAATCTAACCCAAACTCCCCTAATGTCTTCAAACAAAAGCAACAACAAAAAAATGCAAACTCAAGAAAACAAAAGGTAACATTTCACTAAAACCAGTTACATTAACAGTGTCAGAGGGAAAAAAAAAAAAAAAAAACCAACAGTGTCAGAGGGCACACATAGAGGGCTAAGTGTGAAAGGTGCTCACAATTAGAAAGAGCCACCCATTGATGTGTCCTTCCTTGCCTAAAGCCACACAATCAGAATGTCAGAAATGGCACCTGAACTTGGTTATCTCTGGCTCTAAAGCCCTAAGTTGGAATCTGTACTATAGAAAAATGAAAGGCAGGGACTGGACCAACCAAACCAAACCAAACCATCCCTAGAATTGTAATTGGAAATGGATATTTGAAACATTTTTTTCCCTTCAGAGTCAAGTAGGTTGCATAGGATTCTCCTCCATAAGGCTTCTGCACGGGGTGCACAAAGTCTGAACGGGGTGGGAAGGTTGGTGTTCTTTCCTGAAAGTATCCAGTACTATCAAGTGGTAGTCCTCAGTGTGAGTACTAACTTTCTAGTTATGACTGAAGGCTGACAGCAGCTGTTGTGGCTGTTGATATGGAATCACTTGGATAGGCAAGAGATACAAAGTTCTACTCAGAATGACCTGATTCCAACAGTCAATGAGTCAGTCTCCAAGGACTTCCATATTTGGGTACTCTTTTTGATTTCTCAACAGAAGGATCACATTATAAACTTAACTAGTACCAGAGTTTACTTCAAGGCCACAAGCACAGAGAAACAATTATTAGCATCAGCTAGCTTCAAGTCAAGGGGAACTTCTGTCTAGGAGAACCTCAGCTATCTTCTTTACATAGAAAGGGAATAGCTATTGCTATATAATCTGGAAATCTTATTTCGCTGCTCTATTAACAAGTAGCCATGAATTTTACAAATGTGTTTTTCAGATACTATCTTTAGGGATCCATCTGAGATGTCTGTTAATAGGTGCTTTTGAGGGCAGAGAAATACAGCACATAATATATTTGTCTCATAGGAACAAACTTGTCTTTTAATATTTTCTTCCTAACCAAAGTGTGGGTGACAACAGCATCAAAGAAAAAAATCATCTGTCATGATCACAAAAAACAGTGATGATTCATCAGACAGCTTAAACACATAAAATTATGCATCATATCTTATTATGGCATAATTAACAAACAGAACTCAGTTGCAATATACATTTGACCTATGTAAATTTGAATTAAAAAACACTATAAACACTAGTACTTAGTTTATAATTAGAAGTATGAGATGTCAATATAGGTTTCCTTGTGGTTAGCACAAGGACTAAAGTAGTTTTAAAGTTTAGAATCAGAAGTATGAGGTGTCAATATATCCATTTCCTTGTGGTTATCACAAGCACTTTATAAGCTGTATTCAGTTGAGAGTGCAATGACAGCAGATCTCCAATACATGTCTGGCAATCTTTGTGACATTTTTTTTTCACCCATTAGAACATATTTTTCAAAGTTAAGGGATCATTTAGTACTTCTTGGCTTCATTTTTCCTCCTACATCTTTATTATTGGTAAGTCATCAGCAAATGCTTTTTTCTTTCCAAAAGACCTTAACATCATGTCTCACAGAATTATCTATTTTATTTATTTATGTTTTGGTAGCAGGGCAGGTGCTTACGCCACTGAGCTAAATCCCTTGCCCCCAATTTTTTTTTTTTGTACTGAGAATCAAACTCTTGAAATCGTGCTTGCCAGGCAGGTGCTGTGCTGCTGAGTTGTATCTCTGGCCCCTCAGAGAGTTCTTAAAAAAAAAAAAAAAAAATCCTGGTAGCAATAATTTTCCTGCCCCCTCTAACTGGGATATGGTTGTTTACTAAGTAACAGTGAATGAGTGGAACACATAAAAGGGGCAAGAATAAGAAGTTAACATTTATTTTCTGAAGCAATTTTATCCACTGAATAAAGCTTGCCGCTCAGTATGAACCACTCTGTTAAACGGGCTCAAAGTGAGAATTTTTAAAAAATTTCTTCTTCCTCAGGAAGTTACATTGTTACTTTGCTTCAATAAAGAAAATGTCAAATATATTTACTATGAGAATTTACAGCTTGCTTCTTAAAAAGCACAAGGCAAGTGTATCTCTTACTGACTGATCATCTTTATGACTTACACTCAGAAAGAAAACACCTGTGAGCAGCTGAGTATCCAAGCCAAATGACCTCTCACTGCTCCTCCCCAGGGTGCTTCCTTCCCAACACAAGAGATGAGGCACCCTCCCCACCCCAGGTTCTGATTTGACTCTGATCACAGTCAATAGTTGTTTTGAGAGGAATTTTTAGTTTCATTAAATAGTGACAGGAGATTTGATAGAATAAAACATATTTTAAAGCAACAGAGTTTACTCTGATACACTGCTGGTCAGTTTGCATTATTCTTCATTTTACTGCTTGACAATGAAAATTTTATATATTAGGATGACAGCTGACAAGAAAGATGTAGGTCAAATTTAAAAAGCATATTAACTACACACTTTGAAAGCACTCACATCAGATGTATCTTCTTTAATTAAAAAGCATTCATTTTATTGTGTAACTGTATTTTGAGAGTGATTGATCACATTAATTATTGATTCTTAAGCCCTGAGGCCTATTAAGTAATTTGATTTTCTTGCCTACATATGGAAGTCAGATTAATATTAATGATAAAAATAGAGACTGATCAGCACAAATACACCTACTTAAGTATCACGTACACAAAGAAAAGACAATTCTGATTTAGGTATTCCTTAGAATTTTAAGGGCAGATGAGAAAGAAAAATCTTAGTACTGGGAAAAATCTTGTCATGGGGAAATGATTATGTTTTTCTTAATTTCATGAGTGATAACACTTATATGATGAGAGTAAAAGAATAGTTTTAAAACAAAGAAAGTTGGGTAACAGAAGAATTACTCATTTAATTGTTCTATCAATGGTTAGTTAGGTAAAATTGGAAAATATTTATCCTAAAAATGTCTAAGACATAATTACTAGATTTGACTACATACTGTAATGAGGTATCATATATGAGAAAGTTCCTAGAATACTTCAAGAATGTAAACAGGCATATTCATGCATATACTTTAACTAAAACAAAATTAAATTAAAAAATGATAAAGAAACAGACTGCCTCTTCTTAAAGTATGTAAGGAATTAATTTATCAGTTGATGATGTTATCGCCTTCATATAACTCTCCTCCCTTGCTCTGGTCTACCTGCTTATGGGCTACCAGCACCACAATCTACTCAAAATCAGAAATGCTAAGTGGATATATAGGGTCACACATGTACCGAAGGCACATCACAGACACTCAGTGTCAGTGCCCGGCAGTTGGGAAGAATATGGACACATGTTCAGTGAGCAGGGCTACAGAACAGCTAACATTACCCCTGTGTGTATGTTGCCTAGTCCAACCTAAATATGAAATGCTTTCTTAGAAACACAAGACTATTTAGCATGCTGAATGGAATGCTATCAGTTTTAAATTCTACAAATGATAAGTAGATTTTCAAACCAGCATAAATGTCCATTCAAAATTCATGTTACAGTTGTAGAAAACTTGGATTCAATCTTTAGTCATAAAAATACGAACAAAATTTTTACTCTCATATATCATCCACATACCATGTCACAGACACTAGCAGATGTTTTATTTCCCTTTTTATATACTATTCATCAACATTACAAAAGCTGCTGTTACTCTTATTTTATAGATAAGAGACTGATACTTAGATTAAATAGCTTGCTAGAAGTCATAAGACAGGAAAGTTCTGAAGCCTGACTTCACTGTAGCCTACCCGGTTTCAGATTACTCTTCATAATACAGTCTGATGCTTTGGAATATCCAAATATAAGAAAGAAAGAAAGAAAGAAAGAAAGAAAGAAAGAAAGAAAGAAAGAAAGAAAGATAGATGCTTGCTTGGAACTATGTATGTGATCTATGCGATGTAAGACATAGAGATAAGATGCAGGGATATAATAAGTCTGGGCCTCTCTAATATTTCTGTGTGTGAGTGAAATAAGGACAGAATAACTCAAAATGAGCCTTCACCAGATATACCAAATTATATGTTTACTGTGACTACCATGTTTGACCTAATGATGACATGAACATAACTACTCTAATACAGCTGCTCCGAGAAGGTATTTCTATTGGGCAATTACTTCCACAAATTATCAATTGGGAAAAAGAGAAAAATTGTCTAATTACCTATTTGGTGGCACATACTAAGCTCAGGTTCCACTCAGACAGAACATTCCGCATATGTCCAATGTTGGCACTCCCTCAATCATTCATCTCTCTTTGTTGTTTCACATTCCTCATCCTCTTCCTCTTAGTACCTCAGTCACTAACTTCCTTCAATAGCTGTCTACTGTTGTGCCTCTGGTTTGTTGCATGATCTGCCCCCATCCCTGGTTTTTATCTATCACAGAACTGAACTGAAATTTCTTGAACATCCTCTTGGTGTAAAAGGTTTCAAGGATCCCTGTTGCCAAATACTGCCAAATATTTTCTGGGTGCTCTGAAGGACCCACTCAGTTTGAGAATGCCTGTAGCCTAAAATATGAAAAGAACAAATCTGAGACACAGTAACAATGTCAACAATCTCATGGACTATGCCAAAGGGAGTACTATCTGCTCTTTGGAAAGCTAATGAGTTTACAGAATTTGTAGGAAATTCAGTAGTATTTGACACTTTAAATACAGCTCATACAGTTAAGGGTTAAATTAAAATTTAAAAATCTAAGAAGAAATCTCAAAATACAAATTTGCATATTTGTGTAGGAACTACTTTATATATTGTATGTCATTTTTCTAATGAATAATGAATTTAGTTCTTTGTAAACAAAATTAAAACTTACCTCTGGAAGTCAGCAACCAACTTAACATCAGCAATGACAATCTTATGCTCAATAATCATGTGCTTCAGAAGTTTGTCTTGTTCAGCCACAGGAAAATGTTCTTCACAGAAAATACAAGGCACAGATGGAGAATCTACTGAAGTGGTGGTGCCACCTGGACTTTCTGGCAGGGAAAGTGGCTCCAGGATACAATCCTTACTGTCTGGGAGACAGAAAGAGAGAGAGAGAGAAAAAAAAGCTGGAACCAACTTTTTAGATCTCTTATCTCTTGTATTAGAAGGATTCTTAAGATATTTACATATCTACAAAAAGAAAAATACATATTCTACAAGAATATTATAATTTCAAATGCTTTTGCAACTCAGGGGTAGGGAGTATCGCAGAGTAGCTCAAACATCCCACTTGCTTGTTTGGGGAAAACCCATTTGTCAGGGCAGTTGTTCAAACTGTTTTTGTAGACACTGGCCAATGACACCAGTTCCTTAACTTGCAAGAGAAGAGCCTATTACATGCTGGTTTAAGGTCCTAGATGTGAAAGTCATCATAAAAAGGCTATTGGCCAGCCTGTCTTTTAGGCTGCTTGCCATTAAATGTACAAATGCTTTCCTACTTTTGATTTGTCGAGAAGACTGTTCTTATATTGGTTTGACACAGCATATGCTGGGTAGCCAAGGTGTCAATTTTCTAAATTAATCTGCTTATCATTTGTTTATTACATAATTATGTATCACAACTGAGTCTTCTGTGAACAAAGAGATGAATGCTCAACTATGAGATACTAATGGTAAACATTTTTTCTTCAGTGTCCTTTTCTTAGTATCACCTATAGTATCTCTAAGCATTGAAGTGTGTAAGGTCTATGGAAATGTGCAGGACTCTTCTTGTGCTTGCTGGCTGTTCTGCGGACTGGACCTGTTACTTACACAGCCTACTGACCAAGCAGTAATCAGGAAACTTAAGAAAACCAGGGTAGCAACTGGCATTTGTAGGAGGATAGTGATCTTCTTCCGAAAAGCTGGCTATTCCAAGGACCACACAGTCTTCTGAATTAGGTTAATATTAGTTCTCCCTGTGACATTTTATTTATTTTACCTTATTATTTAAGGCATTTTAAATTGACTAAGACTAATTAATTGTATCAGCCTCTGCTACCCTGCTGCTGAGAGCTTAAGCAATGAATAAGTGATACAGGAGGAAAGCATCCATTTTTCCCACTTTAGAAAAACAACTTAGTACCTATTAGTTGCTAGTCTTTTCTGTTCACTGTTGCATGACATGATGTTTATCACCAATAATAAAGTGCTCATAATTTGTGTGGAGGTATAAATCACTGAAATGAAAAAGACAAGGAGATAGTGGATATAGAGAGTACACGTGAGCAGAAAGAAGGACCACATAATAGCCAGCGAAGAAAGGTTTCCCTTTGGGGAGGATCTCTAGTACCCTGCACATATACTCTATTCATATAAAAGAATGCTAAATCAAATTGTTTACCTTTATTCATAGTGAAAACATAGGCTATAATGACGGTACGGAGAATAATTAAAATACAAAAACACATCAGAAGCATAAAAAAGAAATGGGTGCTAGCAATTTATATTTATTAAATTAGGCATTGGACTTCTTCAGTTGTATTCTTCAGCTGAAGCTTAAATTTTGTAGGAACCTAAATGCACATACAAAAATAAGAAAGAATGGGAGGTAAGTAATATACTTACAAAATCATAGTACGATAATATTTTATATCACTAGAATATGACAACCAAAGGTAGCATACTATAAATAAAAGTAGCATGAAATGAATAAATATTACCTGCCTAATAGGAAATACCAGGACCATATTACATCCTTTGAATGAGATATATGCCAACTTATTTTTTAATGGGGTAAAAACTATGATAATAATTACCAAGAGTAACAAGTGACATTTATTGATGCTCACTATTTGTAAGTTACCAGCATAGTACATTAGGGTCTTTTCTCAATTAATCCTTTTTTATTTGGTAATGTTATTACAATCCCAACTTTCAGATAACAGAATTGAGGCTAGAAAAGTCACATAATTTTCCAAAGTCACTATGTTGGTAAGTGACATAAGCATAATTAAGTTCTGCTAACCTCAAATATTATATTATGCTGCTTCCAATATCAAAAGCCATTTCCTAAATTCTGTTTCTCCTTTAATATATATTTCATTGCTGTTTTGCATTAATGTATATCTATAAGTTACTCTGCATTTATAAGCATTCAGGCAGTGTCCTGTATCTCTTTTAGCATTCTTACCCAAAGCTTAGTAACCCGTTTTTTCCCCCAAATCACTGTAATATATAGCTCCTTAGCATCATCGTTTTAATTTTTCCCTGAGGCTTTCCTACAAATTTTCTACTATTCCTCTTTGGTTCATTTTTTCCTCTTTTGTACATCTAATGCCTATTTTTTCTTCTTTCAAGTTATGCCTAAAAGAACAGACAAAAATTCTCATATACTACAAATACATTTCTTGTCATTGAAAAGGGACAGAAGAACAAAATCATGAATACACTAACTGTGGTTTGGGGGAAGCTTGAGTTGCTATATACTGCAGAAAATAAAAGTTTTAATACAACCTTTTTAGATAGTTAAGTTTTTGCTCTTACTCTAGCTAGCCACCTTTCTCAAAATGGTAATAGCATTTATCAGATGGAGCACTTTGTTTACCTATATATTATTTTTTCTCCCACTAGACTGTTAATTCTTGCAAAGTAAAGTTAACCCTGGCTGTTTTAATTATTTGGTATCTACATTCAAAAAACCTGTATGCCTACCACGACTAGCATTGCCATTGTATGGTTACTTTGTACGAGGCACTGTTAAGCATATTAACCCTCGTAGTACCCTAATGCAGGAGGTTTTGTTTTGATCCCTATTTTATAAATGAGGGAACTGAGAAGGTAGTGACCTGTGTTAGACAGCTACTGAGTGATGGAGAAAGAATCTGAATCCAAGCAGTCTGGCTTAAGCATTTAACTCTGAACGTATACCTAACATTAAGGAGTTTAGATTTTTTTTCCTATTGGAAGCAGGCCCATGTCCATGTTTTAAACTGACATGAGGAGATTCAACTGGAAAAAGGCAAGTTTCAAGATGGAGAGAACATTTGGGAGACTACTATGGATGTCAAAGTCTTGAGGACTTGTTTGGAGCAGCAACATGAGCTCTTGGAGGGGTGGCGAAGAGACAGAGGAGAAGATACAGAAATCAAACCGACAGCTCTTAATTACTGACTGGGCACTGGGAATGAAGAAAGGAGAAGAGCGGGAATGTTTCAGGCTGAGAGGACTGTACAAACGGGTGTGCCAGTCAACCTAGGATTATAGATAGAGAAGCAGGTTGGTTTTATAAATGGAAAGGATATTGAGTGTGTTTTAGGTGCATTTGGTTATCTGTTTAGAAGTTAACTGTTCCTCTTATTGCTGGTGGATAAAAGTAGCTGAAACTGAGGTCTCACGTGAAGCATTTGTACTATTATTTTTGTTAGGTTCTTCTCTGGTTCTCCTATGACTTGACCCACTCATCTCTTCAGGCCCAACATGAGCAAGATTCACTGCTGTAAATAACTATATACAGCTCTCTACCACTATGCGACTCTATGAATAAATGGTCTTCATATGTCTCACATAGTGGCTGGAACAAAATTGGTACTTAATATGTGTTTGTTAAATGAAGGTATGAAAAAAATGAATGAGCCAGAGGTATTTTCAACTAGAGTTCTAAGATCAACTTAGTTTCTAGGAAAAGTCCTATTTTAGGCAACATCTGTTATCTGTCTTTAGGGAAATTTTCTTTTTGGAATTGAGGGTAAAGCAGATTTTATTTACAGCAAGATCTTTAAAGTGGGCTTTGATGCAACCAGCCCAGTGGTAATTAATAAATAATGACATAAAATTGTACTAAATATCAGATGATATATTATTGAATCATGTAGTACAGGTATGTTAGATTTTATTAGGAATTTTTAAATTCTGTTTTTATTTTTTATGTAAGGATACTGTTCTGTGAACAAAGAACAGGTAGCATCTGGAATACAGGGTAAGTCACATGATTCTATTCAAGGATTTTTATATGGAAAAGAACTGAAACTCAATATACATTTTAGTATACCACAATAATTTCCAGATCTGTTTGAATTTCATCACCTGTGTGCTGCAGATTAAACTCTGGGTCTTGTGCAATGGAGATCTTTTAAAAAATACTGAGTTTAGGACTTTACTTTAGATGGAGGGGTATGCAATTTATATTGAGTGGCAGCCTAGATGAGACTTAATAATGTCATTCCCAGACTGCTATGTGGGATTTGACTATTCAGAGGATGGTCACATGCCAACTGTGAATATCATGATCAAGGAGACTATTATGGTTATCTTAGACTTATGGAAAACACCATGAAATTCACTGACAAAGCCAGTGGCAAAACTTATTTGACAGTCTGTTCTGTCCTACAGCATGTTTCCAAAATGCTAAGTGTTGGAACAGTAGATATAACTCATTTATATGTCTAAGACATTATTCATTTCCAGCTGCCACTGGACTATGTATGTTTAAAAGACAATGGATATAAAAATATACGATGCTCTACTTCAAAGATTTTGAAGTCTAAAAGGTAAAAGAAAATAAATCACATCTAGCTTCTCTTAGCAAAAAGGAAAAAAAAAGGCATCTTGGAAATTCTGTTTTGGCCCAAAATTCACTTCACATATGTGTTATAAATTAACAACAACAAATCATCTGCTTTAGTTCTCACTTTGAGCAGCAACTTGCTCAAATGAATGAAGAAAATAACCCATGGAAGCTGAGTTTCTGGGGGATCCTATGCTATTACCAATTATACAAATTCTAGGTAAGATCAACAAAATGTCAAACTATTATCCTCAGACAGTGCTTTTCAAAGTTTAATGTGTGTGAGTCGCTTGGCAATATTATGAAAACATTCAGATCCAGTAGGTATGGCCATGGAAATGTAACATTCCAGTCTCCTGCTGCTATGGGCACAACAGACAAGAGGAGCTAAGGTGTAGTGCTCTGAAATCCCATCTGCGCTGAGGCTAAGCCTCCAACAGGCTGCTCTGAGTCAGTGACAAAGGATCCCTAGCCAATATACATAACTACTGGGGTCTGTACCTAGATCCCCAACTCCCCAAATGTGTGCACGGCGAAGGCTCAAAG